CCGCTGCGTGTTTTGATCTTCTAGTATTTGTTCCTATACAAAGATTATTCCTGTTTATATCCCCATCACCTTGTGCAGAACACTAAGCCATGGCCACCTCCCTTTCTTTCCATTGTCCTCTCTTTCTCTCTTTGGGTGATGTTGAGTGCCCATCACTATCACTACAGCCGCGTGAGCCACTGCAGAATCGATAAGCTAAGCGCCCTTGAGCTCACCCGACGTGTGCCCTCGGAAGCTGGCTACACAGAGTAGTGTGTGGGTGTGGCTACATGTCGTCGTACCATCCAACCGAGAGGCCTTCTCTTGCCATCCATTTCCAGCCCACCACGTCTCGTCTATATTGTGCAAGGCTCGTTCACGCATATACATCGTGCTCTTTTGAATATGATGATTTGATTCCATGTCATATATATTGTCTTAAAGCTCGACGATGGTCTATGATGGATGCAGGAAGGGGAATCATTGGAACAGTGTTCCTTGGTTTCCTAGAGACGTTCCCATCCTTCCAGCAACCCAAACAAATATGGGAGCAGGAGAGAGGCAAAGAATGTCAGAGGTTCCGATACGAGCACCAGAATTTAGAGTTTACTTTGCAAGAAAGTCAATTGCCCCCAAGCCAAGCATCGGAACCACTGTCTTATCAAGCATAAGCTCCCTTTAGCGCTTTTAGCTCCTCTTACTTCAATTCCTAAAATAGATACAAAAGAAAGACACTCAATTACTGTTTGACTTGCGGTGCCCATCACAGCTAGTCTCAGTGCCTCTTGTACTTTTAGCTTATTATGAGATCTGCCTGCTAGTTCGGGAAGCGGGGAGAAGCATTAACTATGTTGGTATCGTTATCGTACTTGCCTTTACGAGACGACGACTAAAGGCAAGGGTCGATGAAAGGTTTTAAGCCGGTACGCTATCTTAGCGCGGAACTGATGTTCCCGATCTCCGGTCAGAAAGTCAACCCTATGAGCTGTAAGGTCGATGCTTATCAATGTTCTATAAATTGAAGTCAAATAATATGTATAAGCGAGGTTCTTTGAGTTGTATCTAAGCGAGGTTCTTTAAGTTGTATCTATTCTATAAGAAAATAAGGTGCTGAAAGCCCATTTGACTTAACCTTATTAATATATCACAAGGTTATAAGTACTAAGAGGAGGAAGTAGCTGTCTTGCCAGGCTATCATAAGCTCCGGTCCTTACTGGATATGAGTACTGCTTTAAGGACACCCCCTACCGACACCAAACCTTGCATTGCTTTACCTTAGCCTCACACTATATCTATTTACTTATATCAATACCGTTATGTATCTATCTACTCTCTTCTAATAATAGTAAGTTACGACAATAACTCCTCAACTCGAATGCTCCAAACATGAAACATTTTTCATTTTAATTGAGAACTGAAACTAAACCCGCGATTGTTATTCACTTCAAACTAACAATGTTCCCAAGTTTCAATCCACAAAACCCGAGCCTTATTTGAAGTGAATAACGGTTGCGGGTTTAGTTTCAGTTCTCAATTAAAATATAAAATGTTTCATGTTTGGAGCATTAGATAAGGCTACGGGTATTGCTTCACAGATTCCGATCCGTTAAGTGCGTAACCCGCAGCCGTTGTGTGTGTTTTCTGAAATCGACATGGATGTGTGATTGATTACACATGGCTACGGGTATTGCTTGTGAAATGATCATTATCCAGAAATTGTCTTAGAAAAACAATTGCAGCAAAAATTAAAAATGTTTTGTTCTGATAAGACTGTAGCAAGCAAAGCAAAATTTTTTTGAGAGGACAAAAAAAAAAAAAAAAAGACATTTCTTTTTTTGATATGCTTCGACTTTCTTTCTTTGTTGATCGAACGAGTTTTGCCTTCCGGTTTGTTAAACGTAGGATTATGCATTGAACGCCTGCCTAAACTTTATTTTTCGTGCTCGACTCGAATAGGTTATGCGAGACAAAGGTCCGCCGCCGCGTGGTATTATTCCGTGCGTTCTCGTGCATCCTCAACTCGTGGCCGTCCGTGGTTGGTCTGATTTGATCCTTAGGACTTCTCGGCGACGACCTTGCCCCTCGACGGCACCGACGGACACGCTCCCGCCCCTTAGTCTGCCCCCTTATCATCTCCGAGGAATCGGGTGGGAGAGAACGGTGGAGACGGGAGTCTTGCGCGAAGGTAATCGATCTCTCTGCCTCCTTGCAAGTTATTTTGAGTTTTCTTTTTGCAACGATTTACGGATTGCAATCGAATGAAGGGCCGTCCTGATTTGGTCATAGAAACCGGTGAAGAATATCGGTCCATAGATCTTCACGATAGGGTATTGGGTTCCATCGAGCTGTTTGAACTCGAAAACCTGCAGCTGGTTGTTAAAATTGCATTCTAGGGTTTTTTTTTTTTTTGTCTTTTTGTTGTCGTTGATATCTTCAGCTCCAATTTCGCAAAAGAAGTCTTCCTTGGATTTGGTTGATTTAAGTCGGTCTTTTCGGGCTCCGGTCACCATATTGTCTCTCGTTCGAAAAGAAAAAGGTTAGCCATTTACGTGCTGTCGGGAGCAACCAAGATGTAGGAAAGGTTGGTCTTCAGATATGGTTGTCATTACTGTTTATTTAGTGTACTTGCACATTCATGAAACTGGGGAAGCTGCTATCATTTGAATCCGACATAAAGAACCGAACAGTAAGTCTCGCATTGTGCTTGTTGGCTATTTGAGCTCTGTTTATCTCGTCTTTATCCTACCTCCTTCTTGAACTGCAAGTTTAAAGCCTCCGTGTAGTGATACATAATTGAACCTTATATCTGCAGATGCAGGTATCTATGTCAAGCTGCATTTCATTTATAGTATTTAATTTCTTTGGCTTTCATCAATGCAATTTTTTTTTATAGAAACCAACTTAAATGTTATTTTTTAAATGATATGTTGGACCAATACATCAAGGTATCTTCTTTTGTTGTTGCATATTCTGAAAATTGAAACCTTATATACTTCATCAGGTTCATCATCCATGGGTGAACGTGATTTTGTTGATAAGGACAAGCTGATACTAAGGGGCTTGCAGTTTCATGGATTTCATGGTGTGAAACTGGAGGAAAAGAAGCTTGGTCAAAAGTTTGTGATCGATGTGGATGCTTGGATGGACTTGAGCAATGCTGGTAAATCTGATGACATTTCTGACACAGTCAGCTATACTGCTATTTACCGGTAACTGTTCCTTTTTCTTTTCCCTCTTCCTTTTTGACAATGCAGTGGTTATACATTATGTCTGTTTTAATAAAACTTATAGCAGTTATAAACAGTTGATATATTTCCTCTTAAGATATATCTGCTATGGCCACCGGCAGAGTTGTTTGTCTTGGTACCTAGTTGTCTGCATCTCTGTTTTAGTGGTGGGTGGGGTTAGATTTCATGCTCGATCAACCATTTCTTTTTCTTTTTTTTTTTCAATGTTAACCAGCTTGTTTGCAGAAATGGCCCGTGACTGACTTGGCTATTTCATCTCTAAGTTTAAGGCCCTAATGATGGGATGACCTGAGGCCACAACCATACGTAAAGTTTAGAGATGATTTTTCTTCTAAGCAAAAGATAGGTTCATTATATTTTTTGGTAAAGTTATTTTAAAAATACTGGCTGCTAAATTTTTCATCAACTCTTTCGGTCATACATCTTATTAAAGAACACCCAATTCACTAGTTTTCATCCTGACTTAGCCATAGTAATATTCATAGACTAATGTGAGCCTTTGAACTTGCAAGTAGTTTTTTAGAATGAAATACTACCTTTGATAATTTTATCAAGATAGACAGCAAAAATGAGCTCACAGTTGAGGCATTATGTGAACTTTTGCGAATGGAGGGAAGACCATATGTAATTTAGTTCTTGAAATGAGAACTCTTAATATAGCACACAATGTGATGAGAATGTCTTAAGCATCAGGAGGTGACCTGCCTCCATGGAATATTGGAAATTGAGAGAATGAGAATGTCTTAAGCATCAGGAGGTGACCTGCCTCCATGGAATATTGGAAATTGAGAGAATGAGAATTTCTTTATAACATATTTTACTGATGTTCACTATTCGAGAGAATGAGAATGGATGCAAGCAGGAGGGTTGTTGCAGAGTGGAATGATGGTTTATATTTCGTGCTATTGCTACAGTACCATTGGAGCAAAAGGAGAATCTAGGAAACATTTTGACAATATGTTATCCTTCATGCATTTGCACAATCCTCACTTCTAGCTTTGGTGTTATCTTTCTGGTACAATATATAATTAGGTTAGTGGCGCCAACAGTCGTGTGAACACAGGTTGAATCATATCACCATGCAAAATGGGTGACATGCCATGCCGACCTCTCCCGGATGTGTGCCAAGACCACTCAGTGGCCTTTACTATCTTGCACATCAAGGACGATGATTCTTCCTGTACATAATGGTGTGCACAAACTTCCTACTTGGTTTGATAAACTTGAAGAGAGTCGACAAAGATGCAAAATGTGAGCTTGAGGCCTGGGGATGGTTTATCCGCAAGGTTCAAAACTTCAGGAACCCAAAAAACATATAAAGAACTCACTTTTGGGTGGTGCACAACAATATAGTCAAATGCTCTTATAATAAACCTGCAGGACAATGTATGCATCAGCTTATCAGTGGCATGTTCCAATTGTTCCTATAAAAATAGTATTGGTTTATGGGTTCTTCAAATTCTTTCCCAGGAGGAAGTGTGGGTTTCATAGGAGTGAACATTTCAAAAGGTGGCTCTATTTGTTAATTTGGCTTATGGATCCTTCATATCTACTGATATATTTTGGAAACTCTCTTTGTGATAGCAATTATCTCCTTCTCAGCTTACTAGTGTGTGTGTGTGGTTAATAGATGGAAGTGTAGAGTCTGGTCAGGAAATTTGCTTTTGAGAGCATGATATGATAGATCACTACTTTTCCGTGAAATCTTCACTTGAGTTGCCAAGTGAATCAAAAAGTTTTTCTTCTTGTTTGGCAAAACTAACAAGAACTTGGATTGCATGTCATCATATGTGGATTACATTAGAGTTGGTGGTGGATGTGCAGGATAGTGAAGGAAGTGGTGAAGGTGGAGTCGGTAGCTCACTTGATTGCAAATACCACGTTACTTCAATTCCCTCAGATATCTGCTGTGAGGGTGAAGGTGGGGAAGCCTCATGTGGCCGTTCGTGGCACCATCGACTACTTGGGCGTTGAAATCCTCAGATACAAAAAAGCGTCCTCTGTGGATTAAGAGGCTCTGCCAAACCATGGATGTGTTGATGATGATGCGATCGGTCCTTATCGAAAGGTATGTATGTATCTATCTATCTATTATATCATCGAACATGTGTTTTGACTTGCTGGCCACGCACGTAGTGGGGCCGGGTGTCTTTAAAAGTCCTGTTGTTGAACCGTCGTGAATCCCAGTCGATCGATCGATCCTTCTTGTTGATTGATTGGCTAATAAATAAGAAACAAAGGATCACTTCACCCGGTTTCATACCCGCCTGGTAAATGGCAACATGGGATCCACTTCGGTTTACCCGATGTGGTTTGCGTCCGACGAATGGGCGGTGGCTGATTGTCTACATGCGATATGCGAGGGGTCTGATAGAGCCCTCATCGTTATACGTTGTTGTCGGTGGGGATGGCGTTACTTTGTTGACACGGGCGCCAACATGGCGACATCAAATCAACAGGTCTCTCTCTCTCTCTCTCCGTGGGTTGTAGGCATCGTCGTCGGCCAAACGAGGGAAGGAGGAGCCACTTGCTTCCTCTCCCATTCGAAGGAAGACTCCGGAACAAGGTATGTATGTATCTATTTATATCGATGAACATGCAATCGGTCATATGTGGAATTTTGTGGTGCTTTGAGTGTGTTTTTTTGTTGATTGCATTTTCTTGGGTTTGTTTTTTTTGGCTCGCTACTATGAGGATATGTCATTACCTCTTTCTTTAGATGCGAAGCTATTTCTTGTTATACATTAGGAGGAGGTAAAAGATAAGAAATGGGTAAAAGAAAAACTCACCATCGTGCGTTCTTGAAGCCTCTCCTCTCCACGGTCCTGTGCAGAAGTTGTTGCATGCCGAGTAAATGAACTCTCACGGTTCCCTTAGGTCGATATATGCTGACTCCACTGACCAACCACCCCCTTGTTACTCGGGTGGGTTTAGTTGGGTTCTTTCAATATGACATACCACGAAGGGCAAGGGGGAAGCATAGTCAGAGATGGAAGAGTTCAAGCAAATAAGTAAATTGTGATGCAGTGCTTTCTTGAATTCTTCTCCTTTGCCTTATGTGATAAGGTGCTATTAAAAGACGGTGGCTTTTCTTGTTTCCAACTACCGGAGATCAGATTCAGTTCACCCACTCAAAGCTATGAGAGCTGAGTCCGGCTGGTGGTGGTGGTGGTGGTTTATCACCATTCAGAAAACCACGTCACCGCTCGCTCATTCACTCTCCACTGTCAGCATATCCATTAATTCCACTCCTTCCAAATCCTCTTGTCGTTGGCATTTTACACTAGCGAAGAATTCATCATGCCCATTACTCCATCTGCCAGCTAATTCCAGCTAATTATATATATAAATATCTAAGAAAATGAAAGGAAAGAGCAAAAGAAAAAGGTGATCTGTATTTACGCCGGTTGTTGGCGCCTTTAATGCACCGTAATTACCTTCCGGTCTCCTCCGGTGAGCAGCAGTGCTCACCGAGCCACGAAACACCGTCCCGTCATCGTGGTGCCCCGGCGCCAGGCTACTGACGTCAGCGCTGTGGTAGGGCCTCGCTGTTTGCTGATCGGCCAGCAACACCGCGGCTACAATCAGGCACCAACCTCCTGCCCCACCTACAGGTCGCCACGTACGCACATTCGATGAGGTGAATCTAACCCGTCCATCTGACGAAGCCGCCCATCGCGCGGCTGACGTAGTTTGTGGCGACGTCGGAGTGGTTGTGTCCCAAGCGACGATGCGCCTCGGGCGCATCGTAACCAAAACGTTGTCGACGGAGTTAACCGTTCGATCGCGAAGCATTCGAATCGTAAGGCAGATTCGATGACGACGATGCGATGAGCTCGAGCGCACGGTACGCATTTACCAGAATATAACCGCCGCGTCTCTCCCGTCCTAGTCCTCGTTTGTTGTCTTCGACACGAGCAGCAACGCCAATCAATTGGATTGGGTGAGCCTATATATATATATATATAAGCCATGGTCGACCACTTGGTGAAGAAGGCATCTAGTCTCCGTGGCATACCGGTGGAGGCGCTGATGAACTCGTACTGCAAATAAGGCTCGGGTTTTGTGGATTGAAACCTGGGAACATTGTTAGTTTGAAGTGAATAACGGTTGCGAGTTTAGTTTCAGTTCTCAATTAAAATAAAAAATGTTTCATGGAGCATTAGATAAGACTACGGGTGTTGCTTCACATATTCCGACCTGTTAAGCGTGCAGCCGCCGCCGTTGTATGTATTTTTTGAAATCGGCATGGATGTGTGATTACACATGGCTACGGGTATTGCTTCCCGGACTCCGACCCATTAAGCGCAGCTGCCGTTGCGTGTGTTTT